AGGGGTCCCCCCACGGTCCCCTCCCCTCTCCCCTGCCCCTAGTACTTACCAGCTTGAAGACGGCTACAGCTCCCTGCTGCAGCCACTGGGGACTGCCTGAATCATCAAAGCTCTCCAAATCTTTTCCAAATCTTTTGAAAAAAAAAATTAACCCTCCCAGCAAGTCCCCCCCCATCAAATCTTCTATTAATACAAGATTTCAGATGAAATAGGCCTCCACTAAGTACAGTGGATTTCATATACCCTTAACTGTCCCATTCTCAGCCAGGGCACACATACATAGTTGGCCTGGTTACCAACAGGAAGTGCTCCATATTACTATGTAGGAAACCTACATTTATTTGGATTCTTTCTCGTCTTTCTTTCTCATTTCTTTTGGTCAGACAGATGATGACAAAAAGTTGTCCTCAGAAGGATAGGGAGCAGGTAAATGGGAATAAATAGAAAGATCCTTGAAAGACTGATAGGAAAGGAACCACAGCAGAATGATTCATAGGGTATGGCAAAATAAACATCATGGAGAAATGCACTTAGAGCAAAATCTGTCCTGGACCTGAAGATCTCTCAGCTCAAAACCCTCCTTATAAAACTTAGCTGCTAAGAAAAGGATGGGCTTGTGCCCTTTGGTACGTTTGCAGGATGTATAAAAAACCCCCAAAGGTTTATTTCAATTGCTTTTTTGCTTTGTTTGGCACTGAGAACATCAAAGCTCATCTATGCTGGTTTACTGGAGGAATCCTAGAAGTTCAAAATGTGGATTGAGAGGTCTTTCAGCTCTGACTGAAGGAATCTTAGACAAAGGACATCCTGTCTTTGGAGTTTCTCAAGTACTTGAATAAAACTATGATATTTGTTTTTCAAGTCTGAAATCCCTTCACCTCTCAGACAGGTGCTTAGCTGAGTTAGTCTCAAGTAGGTAGAAGGTAGAGCAGGATGACATCTTAGACTGGGAGAGGCAGTCAGCCATATTAGTCTGAAATCAATATAGCTGCTGGCATCTGAAGTCAGAGTAGATATGCACCTTTCTAGACTAAGATATGCAGAACACATCAGCTTTTGTGAACCCAAGCTCCCTTCTTCAGATGCTGTGAAAGGACAGCAGAAAGTAGAGTATAAGGAGACAAAACTCAGAATACAAAAGAAAAAGGAGGGCAGAGAAAGAGGGGAGGGCAGCACTGCTAATGGGGAAAAACAAACTAGCAGTAAACTAAAGGCTTACCATCTTTATTCCTATGGGTTTACTATTCCTTTGCTTTTCTCTCCTAGCACTGCCCTCTACCTCCTGCCCTCCCCTGTCTCTTGTATTCTGATTTCTGTCTCCTTATACTCTGCTTTCTTCCCTTCCTTTCACAATATCTGATGATGTGAACTTGGGTTCAACAAAGTTTGTGATTTCTCTATCTTAGTCAGTCTGTAAAGGTGCATACTACCCTGCCTTCTGACTTCAGACTGGGTCAGAGAAGCAAGAGCATCCAATCTACTTCATCAGATGCTCTGAAAGGACTGGCAGAAATAAAGGGTTTTATATAGAAGGAAAGGGATGGAGGAGGGGACAGTGCAGAGGGGTAAAGAGTAAGTTAATTGGATGGTCTGAAAGATGCAGTTAACACCTTGAGGGAAAGTGGAGTTAACAGCTGGTCCAGCAAAATTTGGAATGTAAATTAGAGGAACAAGAAATCATCCAGACTGGACTGGGTTAACCATTGTCTCAACAAGGACTGTGGGTTCCTATCCCATTATCTGGACCAGCTGTAAATCCATCATCCCTCAAGGTGCTACCTACCTTGTTCGTCTCAACTGATCCAGTCAATTCTCTTTACCTCTCTTAGTAGCATCTCCTTCCCTTATTCCTTTCCCTTCTATATAACACTTTTTTGCCAGTCCTTTCATAGCATTTGTTGCTGCCTATGAAAGCTCATGCCTCTCTACCTTTCTGACAGTCAGTCTCTAAGGTGCCACCCTGCCTTCTACCTTCACAAGTTCTACTTGATCTTGGCTTAGTGATGTATAATTCTAGTCACCCAGGGTTTCTTTTAGGTGAGACAGCATTCTGGCATCCAACTCTTACACAGCATTTTCCATCAGTATCTTAAAAGGATTTTAAAGAGATAGCACCATCCCTGTTCTACAGATGGGGACAGGGAGGTACTGAGGTAGCAAGACTCGCATGTATTCACACGGCAGGCCAGAGGCAGTGAGGGCTAGAAGCCAGGTCTCCTGAGGCCAGTCCAGTTCTGCCTCCAATAGCTCAGTTGCCCCATGAACAAGATATGATTCTACAAGATATGCCACCTTTGGCAGGTTCTTTACTTACGATAGAGCAAAAGGCACAGAACGCTTCTCCCTTGGCAGGCTAGTACAGCTCATGCAGAAGCACAGCAGGACCCTGTAAGCAGGACTCTGAAGAATGCCCCTGACAAAAAGTAGTTCAGCATTCTGCTCTTTATATAGCAAAGAAAAGAGCTTAGGCCAAATTTGTCCTTCCAGTCCAGTTAACACTGAGAGTCTATGCAGAGAGCAAGCTGGTCACAGGACCACCCCATCCTATCCTTTCAGGTACTGATATTTGTTCTTCAAAGCACCTACCCAATGTGGTAAGTGCATTAATGTCAGGGGTACACAAAATAGCATATAGTATGCAAGCACTTACCTGCCCACTCTAAACCAACTCCTCCTCTTACAAAGAAGGTCTGCCATTGAATTGATCTATTTTCTGCATTAGACTCCCACAACAAACCATCACTACCTGCTCCAGGAAAAGCCTGTGCAGAATCTCCTGCAAAGGTCCAGCAAGATCCAATCATGAGGATCTTGCTGGGTCTTTCATCTGTTTGCTCCTTGTTGACACAGTAATTTTTATTACTTTACAGAACTGTCTCAGAGGGTTGTAAAATGCTTCAAGATCCTAAGCTGGAAGCTGCTAAAGAAATGCAGTGTATTATTCCAGTTGTGAAAAAGGGATGATGCCAGCTCACTAACATCAGCACCACTTTCCACTGCAGGCACTCTGGCATGAAGTTTCCACGCAAGACGTAGCTGTGGTTATGCATCCAACTGTGAGACAGCCCACAGCGGATGCCTGCTAGACAGGAGGGCAGTGTACTGGTTGGTAGCATGGAAGAAGCCACAACAGAGATTACCAGTCATTTCTGGTGCTACTGATTGACACAAAGGACAACTGGGGCAGGATGTTACCTCTAGGTGTCCCCCTTTACCCTCCGTCTCTCCCCATCTTTTGCACAAAGCAAGAGAAAAGCCTTGGGGGACAGGGAAGGAAACACAGTAGAGACTTAGTGACAACACAGAGTAACAGAAATCCCACCACTACTTCTGTATATTTAGCGTCTTCCCTGGCCCACTAGGTCAGCCTCAACCACAACAATGCAGCCAGTTGGGAAGAACTTGCCCCACTGCATCCAATGCGACAGAATGTGGCCCAGATTTGGATGCTGCTGACTTCTGCAATCCAAAACAGGAAAAACCAAACAAAATACAACTGTACTGTTACGGGTTAACTCTTCTCTTCTGCTCTTGGTGGCGTTCCATATGGCCTTCTTACAACCACTTTTTTCCATATCATAATTTACTACAGTGTTCCAACCCCACAGCTGGTAGGAGTCAGTGGTGTACATTTATATTACATTCTTAGTTTTCTTTCTTGTAAATAAGTTCTTAGAATTACCACCTTAATGTAGTGTTTTAGCAGTGCCAGCTGGCAGAGAGGCTACCCTATTCCTGGGACTTCCTTTGTGCCCAACACCTTAAAACATTCCTTCTTTCCAACAGAGCAGCTCTAGAAAGCGGTCAGTCTAACTACTGCAAAGTGTTTACTTCACCCAAACATCATAATTCATTTGAATGAATCCTATTTGGAAACTGTTACTGGAGCACTGGAAGAACTGGGTCCTAAGACTGGAAGTAATTTGTTACAAGATTCTTACTGAAATCTTACAAGTACACATTGACCTCGCTCTATTTATACAGATGGAAGTAGAGTTCATTTGGAATTTGGCCTACAGCCTTCTCTTGCAACCCCCTAACCTTCCGGGTCTGAAGCTTAGAGATGTATTATTTATCTTTTACCTCAGCTGATTTCCAGATTTCCTGAAAAGTTATTGCAAATAACATTTCCCTAATTTTCAGTCTATAAATTGTACCTGTAAACACTTACCTTCTAGGCACCTGTGAAATGAGGCTGGAAATGAAAGAGAGGAATCTAGCTCAGAATTTAAAAGTCTGATGTAAAAGGGAATAGCTTCTTATATCCTGACAACAATCTAGAATGGCGCAGGAACTTCTTGGCCATTTAAAAAACAAAAATAAAAACAGTTGACCTGTAAAGGGAAAGCTACATCAAAGGGATTCCTATCAAATCCCCAATCCTAGCAATGAGCTGACAGCCACTGAATCCATGTACAAGCATTTCATTTTCTTTCTATAGCATATTTATAGATTTATAGACACTTGTTCAAAAATTCAAAATATATAATGTTTTCTCTTCCACCCTAGATAATTAGAGCAAGAAGATCTTATCTTGTTAATCTACACAAATCATGGCTAGAATCTCTTTGTTTCTTGAGTAAATCCCCTTTTTACAGGAGCAGCTTTGAAGATTTTGAACTTTTTATTCTGCTCAGGATAAAGTTATCCTCTCCCAGCACAGCCTCCGAGTTCCCATTTCCCAAGAAGCTGGCACTGTAGCCCTCTCAAGTGATGAAAACAGTAACTAGAGGAATTCTTTACTGGAAGATCAGAAACACGTTTACTTTATATACAAGAAAAAAAACTATTTACAACAGTCAACAGCAAACTATGTACATAAACTACAAGACAATTCCAAGATAATCACTGTATAAATTAACATAATAAATAGGAGGGAATCAGGTCCCATTCTTAAGGCACAAAACCTTTTTCCCAAGACTGTACAGGGATTCAGATGCTTCCCCATGCTTCTAACAGGATCACAGGAATGGTGGGACACCCCTGAGGAATGATAGTGGGTGGGCAATGAGACAGACATCCAATCACTGCAGACAGCAGTACACAAACAAAGTTTTCATCCTCTCCTTTTTGTTACAGTACACACATTTCTTTTAGATTCAAAATGTCCTGTGTAAACAGTCTGTCACTTTATCATGCAGATCGTGTATGCCGCATTAAATAATACTAAAACAGAGAAAGCTTACATGAGAAGTCCAACATTAAGCACTTTCCAAGAGACACTGGGATAAAGGGCCTCTGTGCAATCTGAGGCTCCTTACTAGAGATGCAACCTCTCTAGTGGAGCGTATATCCAGTCAAGTCTTCGTGGTCTGACACGGTGAAAAGCTCCAGTAGAACCAAACAAGAAACAATTCCCCTATGCTGTGAGCAGCCGGCACACACCTGTTGAAAGTGTGCAAGAAACTCCTGATCAGAACAGGTCAAAGCATGCTACAGACAAATGCCCTCTTCTTACAGGAGGTCCAAACAGGGACATTCCCACTCAGCTAATTTTAATGGCCAAATTCTGTCCCAAACTAGTGCAGGCAACTCCACTGGACTGAAAAAGACTATGGGCTGACAGGTGTAGATTTCCAGTGCACTGCTTGGGCAATGAATCCTGCTATAGCTAACAGAAATTGTGTGCCTAGTTCCTACAGTACGATACTGCCCCTTCCTCCAAAATCAATGTCAGGGAGTACAGCGATGTTGAGGCAGAAGATGACCTGAAGCCTAAACACAACTCACATTTCTTTACAATTAGAATACACGTACAAGCTGTGTAAAGTGCCAACTTCTCCCAAGTGGCCATTTTGCTTGATATAGTAGAAGAGCCTCTGCTTTGGCAAAGCAGCAGTGGTATATTGTCAGCCTGTTTTGTTTTTTTTCCTGAGTTTCTCTCTTATGGAAAAACTGAGATGCCAGAGGGACAATTCTGAACCTCAGTATTACTATTTCTCAGGGACATCTTTTCTTGATTAACACCAGTGCTCCCATTTTACCTCTGGGCATTATTCCCAATGGCACAGTGGTACACAGAGGTAACCTTCCCTTCAAAACATAAATACACACACACACCATGATGCATGTCCAAAGGCACACAGATTGAATAAGACCACATTCTCTAACTCTTAAAGAAGGTTGACCTTCCCTCAATCAGGGATAGAGCATGATACTGGCAATGAATATGTTGATGAAACACACACAAAAATGGATCAGGATTCAACAAAGGGGAAAATAATAAACGTGCAGACTTTAACCCTTGATGACATGAAAATTTCTCAATGCAAAACTCGCTACTCAGAGCAGATGTATTGATATTCTTCAGCCCTTCTGCAATATGGTGCAGTTCTACAGAACATGCTTAAATATGGGGTGAGCTCTTTGGATCTCACCATCAATCACAGTGGGAAGGATACAGACGGGCTGATCCTATAGAGGGAAGAATATAATTGGCCCAGAACTCAATAAAGAAAGCTGGGTAAATACACATGATGCCTCTTTCTTGGAGAACACATGGCAAGAACCACGGTTCCTTCATCTTATCCACCAGTCGGTGGAACAAAAGATAAGCCCCTTCTCCTTGCAGTATCTTTCTCCAGGGTAATCACATGGTACTTCTATTTCCTGAGGTACTCTCCCAGCCCTACATACATATGCTGTTCTATACAAAGGGGCTAACAGGGAAAGGGAAGTGGCTGTCACTTGATTATCACCAGCAAAAATGCAAAAGTTCAGGAATATTCTTGCAATGCCCAATGGTTCTGCTTAACAGTGGGATTTCCTCATGTTCATACAGATTTAACATCTTGACAAGCAAATCATAGCAATTGGGAAAAACTTTGGGGGGAAGTATTGTATGTACAATTCTGTATCATCCAATACATATGGCATCAAATTCCGCATGTGAGCTTTGTACTGAACAGGTGAAAAACACTGTGGAAATGGAGACTAATGAACAGCAATTGGAGCAAAGCTAACATATTCCTGTCTGCTCCCTCCCCACAAGGTCTACGCTAGTTTTGGTTTCAGAATTAAGCAAGTGTAGCCCTCCAACAACTTTACATGAGTAAACCATGGAGGACCAGAGAAATCCTTAGCATGATCCTCTTGAGTTCAACAGAGTTGGCACTAGGGACAAAACTGGCCTATAACCTCCCAAGGTACAAAACTCATTACATAAAACACCCTAACTAACACTGCAGGTTCAGTTGATGCACAGAGCTAAGGTTATCTTAATAAAGAAAAAGAAACTAAGGAAATCAGATCATACTGCATACAGTATTATTCTGCTGCTGACAGCCATGGTCAGGCAAATGCCACTCTGTAAAAAAAACTAAAGATTACATGCATACAAAAGGTAGAACATAACTAAGATTCCTTCCCATCTTGGCAGTGCTACATGGCCTCCAGTGCCCTCCCCAGGGAGACTTGTGGCAACTCAATGAAGCACATGGGTCTCTGGGCTTTGCCAATCACACAACAGGGGTCAGCCAATGAAACAAGAATGTGAAAGCAGCCTAGGCTCTCTGATTCAGAAGTGCTGGCTTTCCCATTTTGCACAGTTGGTGACACCAGGGGCTATTCACCAAACACACACTTTTCAACATGTTCACCAGCCTTGTACCAAACAATCAATACTTCTGTGTGACCTTTAATGTTTCATGATACATGGACTCTCACTAGCAGGTACAGTCCCAAGAAGCATGCATGATGTTCCTTTGAAATCTACTGGTAAGAGAAAGAAGCAGCTTGGGAGAAGAGGGAAAGACCTAGAAAAATGGGTAAAAACTGAACTAGGTGAAGAGATGCAAGTTTTAAGGAGAACTTTTTGTCCCTTTGAGACAGGAAAGTTTTCTTTCCAAGTATAGGAATAAAAGCACTTGCTTGGGGCCATGGAAATGGCACTAAATGGAAATGAAAGCATTTCTAAGTGGGTCTAAATCAGTGCCTGACAGGCTGCATCCCTAAGAAAACGGGGAAAAGCTATGTTGGATTTGACTAATTTATACTTTCTGACTGGCCCAAGTTCTTGGCTGTGTTCCTCTCCTGCCCTGAGAATTTCCTTTCCCCCAGTCTCCTACCAGTGAATTCAGAATCAGAGTCAATTTGCCTGTCATACATTTGCTCCAGCCTCAGGGGATAAGACATGAGTCGGATGATGTCCTCTGGCTGGCTGGAACTCCCACAAAGCTGCCAGCTGTGGCTGGGAATATTGGAGCTGTATCACTGTTGCTGGCTGACAGAGAATGGACAGTCTCAGGCCAAGGGAAAGACTGCAGGCTGGTGCAAAAGACTGTTGTAACCATATGTGCTGCTGACTGGAAGGCATAAGTGCAAGAGAGAATCACTCGCTATATAATAGCGACTTGCACTGGTTTTGAGCTTTTGTTGCAAGTTACATGCAACTGAAGGGTTGTCCTACAAGAGAAAAAAAAGTTCTGTCCCATATGTGTGATGTACAATACAGCTGTGACATACAGCCCAATGGGAAAGTCTTGAATCTGAAAAGGCTACTAGACACTCCTGGACTAAGACTGGCCAGTACATCTTCTTCCCTGAATAATTCCAATATGATGAAATTCTACATTAAAGGTAGCTGTGTTGTTATTGTCAGGAGACCTGTGTTGTTCCTGGAACCAAGACTTTCCATGTCTGAGAGCACAATGATTTTGTCCAACCAGCAGGTGAATTATATCCAGGAAACTCCACCCTTCTAAACACAAAAGGTGTCTCTTGACTGGACACAGCTGTACCCACATGAAAAAAGGTAGCACCATGATTGGTCAATATGAACTCTGAGCAGCTACAGCTTGGCTGATCTGCTGAGATAGTTTTGAGCACATTTGCTCTGTGAGGTGAGTGCTGTGTAGACGTTAGGGGGAATGGTAGACACAGGCTGCAAAAACAGAGGCTAAACCTCGCTGGCAGGAGTATTCCGGCTCAGCTCCTTGATCCCGTGTAATATCCTCTTCATGTGACCCACCTTGGTCACTCCCAGGTCCTGGAAAAGAAGAGAAATTCACTTTAAATAAAAGGAAAAAACTGAGCCAACCAGGTACAACCTAATCAGCTAAATAGAAAATAAACAGAAAGAGATATGAGAAGATTATGAGCTTCACAGATCCATCTAAAACTTCAAAGCATGCAACAAACATCTATCAGAGCACAATGAAGTAAAAGCAACAGTAATAGAGCAGGCATAAAACTGCCACTGCCGACGCTGGCCACTCTCCATGTGGCCAACTGTGAATACAAACTATGGACTCAAAGCAAGACACTAGATAGAACTGTACAGATCATAGGGAATGAGGACAACAGCCAAGCACAAAACACATGGGTAAAGACCACGATCTGTTGCAGATCACACTGAACTGTCATCTGACCACCAGGGTACCAGGTATGACTGCACACTCAACTGCAATTAGCCAGACTTGTGGTATACTTTGCAAAAAGGGAAGGGGTGGAGACTATGTCATAATCCTTTCATTCCCCATTGTTAAAAATGGGAAAGTCTAGATAGCTATGACTGCAACTGGTGCGGGTGTTGGACTGGGCTACAAGATGGGTGTCAAACTTGTCTGGCACTGCGGGCCACATGAGGGTCATTAGGCCAGATCAGGACCATGCACCAGACCCAGTGTGCAGGACTGGCCTGGTGAGGCGCTGCATGTACCACCTCCACTCCAGGGCAGCATAAAAGGATCCCAGCACCAGACTGGCTTTGTGCGCTGGCTCTGGGGCCAGTCTAAATCAGGCCCTAGGCCATCTGTGCATGCCAGAGCTAGTATGCGAGGACAGTCCAGCAAGGTGTTGCATGCAGTGCGCACCCCATGCTGGCCCCCTAGGCCTAGGCCGGGGGGGGGGGGGGGGGGGGGGAGTGTGGGGCCAGCATGTACTGCACAAGGTCAACAGGGCTGGACTGACTGTGCCACAGCATGTAGCACAGGGGGCCAGGATGGGGCATGCACTGCCTGTGGCTTGCTACTGGGCCAGCTTTGTGCCCTGGCTGTGTCACAGCATAATCTGGACCAGCCCCAGACCCAGGGCAGTATGGCCCACACACCTGATGGGCTCCACATGCCACATATGGCATGAGGGGTCAGTCTGTGACTGACAGCCTGGATCAGAGGGCTTCATGGGTCAGATCATTGGGTTCCATGTATGTCAGACTCCCCTGGGCTACAACATAAGGGAACAGAAAGGAGCTGGATGGCTGGCCTACAACCCTGTGGTTGCCCTCCCATGATGCTACTACTCTATAAAATAAAGTATTAATCAGGTGACCTGAGAAGGAAAGAGAATAAAACAAGGCCATGATGAACCCATTCCTCCAGCCAAAGCCATCTGGAGTGGACCATATATTGGCTATTTCCAAGCACATGCAGCTGGCTATTTCTGAGGAGCCGATCATGAAAGTACCTTGAGGTCCCTCCGTTCGAGATGCAGGAGCTCAGAGCCCCGGACGTCATGTCGGATGAAGATATCCTTATACTCACAAAGACTGAGATGCTCAAGCCAGGCCGCAACCTCCTCCGTTCCCCAGAGGTGAACTGTCAGAGACGGAAAAGCAGGAGTGCATTGAGTACCCAGAATCCCAAAGGAGAAAGAAAAGTGCGAAAGATGAGAACACCAAGAGTACTCTTCACCAACAGGAAACCCAAGGGAAAGGGCAAACAGTATCACAACCCCAGATGAAGGGAGGAAGAGGATGACAACAGGATTTACAATTTCAAACAAGGAAAGGAAGACAGATTAAAGTCAGTTATTCTCTTAAGCAGAGGCTAAATCAGTGGTTCTCAACCTTTTTAGACTTGAGGCACCTGTAGATAGACTAAAGGCACCCCTCAGAAAATGTTGGTTCTTAGTTTTCACTTGTTTTTTGACTGTAGAAAAATAATAGGGCAGTTTCTTCCATTGCAAAAACTCAAAAAGACCTCAGCAGGTCAGAATATTTTTAACACTATAGATTCCTATTTGAAATCTCTGGGTTTATTGTGTGAACCATGTTTGCGCACACAACAGTGCTAAGAGAGGTGTGGCACTCTTCAAAGGATCTCAAGGCACCACAGGGTGCTATAGCACCCTAGTTGAGAACCACCAGGCCAGAGGCAATAAATCATGAGAGTCTGCTTACACTCATGTCCAGCCACTGCCTTGGAGGAACTGGATGTGCCATTGGAAGTTTGCTATTACTTCTACCAGGAAAGTATTAGTCATGTTACAAAACAAGAAAGACTGTGAAATACACACTAGAGAATCTAGCCCAGAGGAGCTTTTCATTGCTATCTTGGAGTAACTGTGTACTGGCACTTACACTGAGTACTCAGTGGGAACATTTACACACAATGCTATGGCGACGTAGCATCCACAGGCAAAAACCGTGATACCACCGCTACATCCCTGCAGCAATGCACTTGCTCATTATAGTGTGTTGCTATGGCAATGTAGTAGCTAAAAATAACTGTGCTGCTGGCACAGCACAGTACAGGCTGTTACTGCACCATCATTTAGTACTTCCAAAAGGAAGTACTAAATGATGGCACAGTAACAACAGCATCTTAGGGGTATGTGTAGATGTGACCAGTAAAGCCTCCCTCTCTGATGCCTGAGGGAGGGAGGAAAAAAAGGCTGCCAATGAACCCAAAATGACCTCCAGCTTCTTGAGTAGCCTCTAAATAAGAGAAAAACGAAGTCCCCAGAGTTTCAGAGAAATGAGAGGAGACACCACTGCATCAGGGAGAAGAAAGCAATAGTAGCTAGAATTCCATGGGAGAGGACAATGCCCATGATCCCACAGAACAAGTAGTACTCCCAAATCGTAGAGGCAGAAAGTTTTCATAGGTAGAAAATTAACCAAAAAATCAATTAACAGAATTGGAGAGAAAGTGTCCTAATATCATTTCCAATTTGTTGATTTCATGGGCCAGTTTTTATTTACTGGCCAATAGGATTAGAGCTCAGGGTGCACCAATATTGATGCAGGATCCCTAGCCAATTAGACATGACATTTGATTAAAGCCTGAGAGCAAATCAACAAGAAAAAGCATCATTAACCACATCAGGGAGCATAAGCAGTGGGAGGTTTGGAGTTATGCAGACTTGGGCTCCACAGTCCTTTTGATTTTTGCAAGCCTTAGACCCCAAGTCCACTTCTCTTGCCCTCCTGAGAGTATCCCAGAAAATGTCCAAGTCTCTGTAGACCTCTTCAGAGCGTGCCTCCAGTTTCTGTTTGGGAATATCTGCTCAGTGCAGTTATGGTTGAGAGAGAGAACATAGCAAATACACTACAATGCCATGTGAAAAAGAAAGACTCCAGACAGACTGTGTAACGTGTGAGTGAAGGTCCATGGAAAGGAAGAATGGAGGAGGGAGAGGAGAAAAGGAACCATAGACACACAGAGGAGGGTCAGGGAGTTTGAACAAACAGGTGCAGCAGGGAAGATGGAATGAATGCATAGATGGGCGATACCCGGCAGTCCCATGCTACTACGAGTCTCTTTATTCTTGTTGTTTTTCTCCTTTTTAAATTTGGTCACCAGTCGAAATTTGCCGCTGCGACTGCGCTTAGAATAATCCAGCATCTGGTTCTGCAGAAACACACAGGGAAATTGTATCAGTAATGAAAGTAAGTGTTAAATGCACACAAAGTGATTGAGCATGGCAAGTAGCATCTAGCATAGTCCATAAACCTTGTAGCGAGGAGATTCAGTCTGTTCCAGATGGGGAGGGACATAAGGGAAGGTTAGTCTCATTGAGATCCTGGTCAGAAATGACCTAAAATAACTCTGCAGCCTGAGTTTCTTTCTCACGCCTGTGACTTCCCCACAGGGAGCCATTCACACAAGATGAAAAGGGCCAATCAGCAAAAAGGAAAGCAGCCAAGGAAACAGCTGTGCTCCTGTCTAGGGGATATTACCTCTTCATAGCTGGGCTCCATGAGCTGCCATAGCCAAGGGATATCCACTAGCTTCCTCAGTTGAAGATCCATGTCTGTCAGTGCTGCTAGGAGCTGTTCCTTCTGGGGGGGGTCCAACTGCTGCACCAGAAACAGAAACAAAGGCAAACAGTTAAAATCCACAAAGTGAAATGCAGACTGTCCTCCCTTTCACAAGCTTTCCTCACAAGGTAACACCTAAATTATGATAAACCTCCCGTTTCTAAGAGGAGCTACGTATCCAAACATCCCCTTCTATGTAAGAACAGATTATGGAATTTCACCACCCCTCCAGCTAACTAGCTTGACTGTGTGCTATAAATGTATTGCTACTATAAGACAGAAAATGGACTTCTCAATTTGTTTACAGTTGTCTTAAATTCCACTAGTAAAAGTTTGCACTGATTTGTAATAAAGCCAAAGTAATTCAGGGGTTGGCAAGACACTGCATGTCCTAGCCCCAGTAAAAAAACCAACAGAACAAGGGATACTCTGTGTCCCTCACTCCTATTTATCCCTTCTTACCAGTGCCATTTTGCCAGCAAGCAGCAGATCTGTCTCATTATGCAGGGCCTTAACGTTATTCACCATCTCTACCACAAGGCTGCAGTTCAGACCCTGTGGAGACAGGACATGTGCATGGAAGGTCAGGCAAACCTAGAAGTCAAACACTCAGAAGGAAAGTCTGAGAAAAACACATACAAATCACTCGGTTACTCAAACCAGAACAAGAGCAACAGAAACTGGAAAAGTGCAAGTCACTGAGTGAGTACAGGTACCTCTGTTGATTTGGATTTGGCGTACACTTTGTCCATAGATTTGGAGCTGGCGTTGACTGCATGAGCAAGTTCCTGTTCCATGTCTTGATAGGACTGTGCTATTTCTCGAATACTAGAGAAAGAGACAGGGATATTGTCAGCTGATTCTCAAGGACAGAGAGAGACCTTTTCTGTTGAGCTATTTTATTCAATACACTTTTGGGGATGAGACTGTGGAAGTACCATAGTAAGGCTTCTCTGGATATAGGCATATCTTTAGCAGAGCAGGAGAATTCAGTGCTTGTGGTCTGACTTGGGGAGGGCAAGCAAAGGCAGTTACTCCTCACATTATCCAATTCAAGCTAGAGCATTCCTGAGATGACTACACCGCAGGCAAGGAATTATAGTAGACTGCAATACATGATGGTCTACAGCTGCGATGACCAACCTGTAGCATGCGTGCCACAAGTGGTATGGGCAGCTTGTGTGTATGGTACACACCAGAGCAGTGAGGGAACAAGCAGCACAGTGGCAGATAAGGCAGGAAGCAGAGGGCAGGAAGCAAGCAGAGTAGCAGATTGCACAGGGGAAGGGGATTGGAGAGGCATTTGGAGAGAGTGAAGGGCTAATTTGGGGCAAGTCTGCCAAATAGGTTAGCCTCCATTGGACTACAGGTATTGTTTGAAAGAAAGTGCTCATTTACAGGTGACTGCATACAAAAACAGGAGTCATGTGCGTTCTCTGTGCATGTAGTGTGGGCCAGAGTTTAAAATATAGCTCTAATAGCGTTGATAAGACTACAAATAGAACTGCAATTTTAGTGGCAGCTATGCACGGTTCAGGATACATTTCTGATATGTCTGCATGTTTGTTTTTATTGCAAATAACAGGGAGCATGCTGCCTGAGAAAAGGGTGGAATGTTGCCCTTGTGTGCCAGTACATAAATCCTCTTCAGAAATTTCTGCTGTAGCCCTGGGAATAGGTACCCAGTATATCTTCTTGATTCCCAGAGGAGCAGCTGTTTCATTTCAGATGGTCCTTGGCAACATTTAGGGCTATGTCTGATGAACACAGGTCTCTATTTTCATTATCGTCTCAGGCCTGTTGTAAGCAGGCATTCCTCCCAGTGAAGGAAGCTGTGCTTGCTTACACCAGGCTCAATTTTGCTCCAGTGACTCAAGAAACTTCACTTTGTGGATTTAAACACTGGTACAGCAAGGAAACTGCACAATAAGAGGATGCAAAGCCATACCCTATTCCAAGCCTGCTGCCTTTGAGACAGAGATGAGCACTACAGATAGTGTGACTATAAAGGCAGCTCCATAAGAAATGAAATTTCATTAACACTCAAGCTAGGAGAGTGGTAGTGGTCTCCCCAACTGACAAGAGAGATCAAGAAGCCAAAGGAGGACTGCAAACCCACAGGAGAGAAAAGATTAGTCCCACCTGTGAATCAGAGCTCCCGCTGCTTGGCCAAACTGGTTGATCTGGGTGGATTCTTCTTCTGACATGATCTCTGGATGCAAGGTGAAGGAGGTGGGCCGGGACAACTCACATTTCTGTTTGTCCTCCCAAGATTTCAGTGTGTTCTCAAATGCCTACAGATATAGTAAGCAAATTTGAAGATACCTCATAAATCTCCCCAAACCTTCTCTGCATACCCCATAAGTAGCCCTGTAGGAGCTATATGCACCACTATTACAAGCAGGGCTAGTGGCACCATCTCTTAAGGCTCCACAAAACTGTCCATTGTAAGACCAGCTGTTCAACTGCTTGCAACTTGGCCAGACTTCAAACCTTTGGGCTATTTTCCTTGCCAGGTGCTTGTCTCAAGCTTCTGTTTTGCTTTGTTTTTAAAAGTCTCACAATTTGGGCCAGCACTTCCAAGGCTGGTCATGTTAAAAATTCTGCAACCTTTTCTTTCAAAACCTGTAGCTCCCTTGTGCTTTGAAGCAGCGACTTGAAATGCAGCAATGGAAAAATTGGCTACTTGTTTCAAGGATGTGCCTTGTTCTGTCCCTGGCAAAATCCAGACAACTCTGGCCAAGTTATTAAGCCTTTGGGAGGCGGGGAAGCTGCAGTTTGCAGCAAGCTCAGTCAGACATCTTAGAGTTTGCCAGGTCAAAGCCTTGAAAGTCCCACCTTGTCTAACCATGCTTCAGCTTGGACTGGCACCTGACATTGGGACTGAGATCATACCTCTCCTGTATTCTCAGTGATGCCCTCTGCTGGCACCCTGGCAGTATGGAGGAAATAATATGGTGCAAATGCAAAGGGGCCCAAAGTAGGGTACAGTGGGAAACAGACTGGGTCACAGAGTTTGAGGTCCAGGAATAGAGAGAGACTGGAAGCTAGCGGAGGTGGGAGAGAGGGCAAGGATACTGCCACCTAGGATAGAAACTGGGACTGACTTGTCAAACACAGCAGGAACTAGGAAGGGAAAAAAGGAGAGGTGGGACTGAGAGCCAGGGGAAGATAAGGAAGAGTGAGATCAACCAAGGAGCTGCAAGGCAGAATTAAAACACCTGGGTAGGACGCTAAGACTGAAGGAAGCCAGGATGGATACTGAGAGCCACTGATCATGTGGAACAAGGGCAGGAGGGACAACTGGAAACCAGGAGGGAAGGAAAGATTGAATGTGAACCCAGGAACAGGAGGAGGGAACACAGGACTAGTTGGGCAGGAGGCTGGGGATGCATGGGGAAATTGGGAATGGCTGGTCAATGGGACTGTGACTGGCTTGAGGAGTCTGGAGGGGTGAGATAAGTTGCTGCGAGAGAAGGAGAATGTGACTAAGTGAAGAGGGGCATTCCCTGGGATGGGCATCCAGGGTCATGAAGGGCCAGGACTGGAAAGGGGACAGATTGGAAAGGACAGGGGGGAAAGAGTCAGAACATTCCTCAGGAGCAGGAGTGTCAAATGTGCAGCCCATGGAGTCATTTCACCCAGCCCATGGGGCTCCCAGAGAAGACTGGAATCTGAGGGTAGAGCTAAAGGGGAAGGGCCTGATGACAGATTCCAAGCAATGGAGCCCCAATGGGCACATGTTGGCAACAGGGGGCTGTGTTAAACTCTCGTGCCACTGGTGCTGCCAGATCCAGATGTGTCCCGGGAGGCTCCTTGCAGTTCAGATCCAGGCCACAGGCACAGGTGAGTTTGACATCCCTACTCCAGAGCCTTGAATGGAACCCAAGATCCCTTAGTCTCACTGTTTCTCTTTTGCCTGACAGTATCTGTGAAAAACAATGGCAAAACATCCCATCCCCTCTAGTGCTGGTCCACAAAAAGGATGACAGCCTGCCCCTGTGATCAGCCTACTGTGTTAGAAGAGTGTATATGGTGGGGGCTGGGATCTAAACATTCTAACTTTGCGGACAACCCTAGCAGGTATCCAGGAAGTGACATGCCATGGAATTGCTGCTTTTTCCAGATTGCTTTAAAAAACAAACAAACACCTGAGGATATTCTGCACACAACAGCATGTAAAAAGAACATTATTAAGCTCACCAAGTCAGTTAAAATTGGGAAATTCCAGAGTGAAGGTCTCCTGTACAGTTTTGATTCGGTCATCCTGCGGTGAGCTTTATAAAAAAGCCTTTGACCACACAGCCACATGCTATTATTTCCATAGGATCTCTGCCTCATTTAGTGCACAGGAGGAACCATACTGTGGATTATTAATCAGGGCTGTGTAGTAGAGACTTACATACACAGGACCTGCTTCATTTGCTAGGGAAGGTGGAAAGGCAGGTAGTGAATGAGAGTTGGAGACCTCAGGAAAGGAACGGCAGCCCTGAAGAATTCCTTTGCCACAGAACTCCAGAGTGGCACTTAAGCTGAATTTTCAAAAATGGTCACTAATTACATATTCTTCATTTGTTGGGCACCCAATTTGAGCCCCTGGGGTCTGTCTGTTGATATGCTGAAAACTCGCTGCTGCGGCTGCAAACTCGCCCCGTTGGAGCGGTGCTTTGAATGTGTAAAGTACTCCACAGTGTTACATATGGTCAAAAATAGGGAATCTGAAATCAGTTACCCTTTTGACCTTGATCTCTCTGTGCCTCAGTCCCCCTCTACTGGATGAGGAAAATGCACCTTCCCCTCATGGGGCTGTTGTGAAAACAGACAACCATTCATGACTGAAAGACATTCAGGTGCTTGAATGCTGGGCACTGTGGAAATGCTATGAAGAGAGTCACTGCTTTGCCTTCAGAACAGGTTTGAATAGCATGCAGCAAACTAAGGGTCAAACACCCCACTGCTTTTATAGACCCAAGCTCATAGCATGTCAGGGCCCTTTCACACACTACCCATATGCCCCTAACTCTGCGCTCACCCTCATGCCAAGGGCTCTTTAAGCTTCCTGCACTGCTCCCATGCATGTCATGAGCTTAGTTTTCCTCAGTGTCCTAGCCCCCAAGATGTAAAAGGCTCTGTGTTCTCCTTCCCTGCATACCTGGTCCCCTATTCTCTTCTCAATGCCACAGACTGTGTGCTACCTCTTTCCCCCTTATACCCATGCTCACTTCCCTCTCCTCTCTCACGCCAGTATCCCCTACTCTCCGCCAGTATCCCCTACTCTCCACCAGTGCCAGGACTTTGAGCACCCCCATCCCATTCTTCCCCACCATGTCAAGTACTCTGTTACATGCCGTCTTCCCAGCATACCACCATCTTCCCATTCTCTTTGCCATGGCAGAGGCTGCGTCCTTCTCTCCTCTCTTCCTTTCCATACCAGGGTAACTCATTCTTGCCTTCCCAGCGCAGGGGCTCTGCATGTTCCCAGTCTCACTTAACTTCCATTCCTCCTGCCACCCTCAGTATTCCTGTTTCTTTACTCTGCAGTTCGGAGATAAGCCACAGAGGGCATCAACATCTTAGACTCCTGAGAGGATGCAACAGCTGACATGGAGGAATGGCATTATGCTCAACTAGGTCTTTGATTTGTAGACAATTACAAAGCTGGCAGATGCTGGTGGGTCAGCTAACAAAATGCAAGGGGCCCTGTTTATCTCCTATGTCCTTCTTGGGTTTTCCAGTGTTCACCAGTCAGCGCAGTTCTGTCCTATAATGTCGAAAACATTCCGAGACACTGGAAGCAAGCAGACAAGGCATTCTAAAGCTATGAGGGAGACAGACGTGTGTGCATGCACACAACTGGGATGGGCACAGGATCTCACTTTACTTGGTCAATAAGACATAGGCCACACATTGAACACGGAGGAGAAATCAAAATATTGACCAGTTGATTAACTGAACAAAATCCATCCGCAGCACTGAATGTGGTGGGGATCCTGTGGAAAAAACAGTACGTGAGCACGTAGGTAAAGGTTGTATCCTAACGTATATGCCCAAGGGAGCCAAACCAATGGTTGCACAGGCAACTCTGATCTTGGCATTTTGTATGTTTTAAACGCCATCTTAATAATGTTCCTTTACCAGCTGCTGAGTCTCTAATGAAAAATGCTGTACATCCCATGTAGTTTCCACATAGAGACTATGAGGATATTGCTCCCTCTTGGGGGGCATATATGATTTTAAAGTATGTGTCTAGTATTAGTACATCAGAGGATTACTCTTACCCTGTCTCTGGTAAGTGTCTGTGCCCTGTTCTTATGAACAATCCAAATATACCCAGGAGGCTGAATCCAGGCTTCTCCATCCACTTGGACAGGTACTCCCTCATCTCCTAGGATCGCTATCTTAACCGTCCGACACTGCAAGACATGAACAGCGAGTTAAATGGGCCGTAAAATAAATTTACCAAAAAATGTTCTGCTCATTTCCTTTGAAAAAGTTTCCTTGCATTCAGTTCTAAGTACTGCTACACCATCAGTTGCAGGTAGGTCTTGCTTGACCAAACTCATTTCCTTCTACGACCAGGTGACCTATCACCTGGACAAGGGAGAAGAGATTGTTGTCATATATCTTGACTTCAAAAAAGCCTTCGATCTGGTTTCCCATGATCGCCTCTTGGAGAAACTGGCCAATAGTCACCTTGGGTCCTCCACGATCCACTGGCTGGAAAATTGGCTCCGGGGTCGGACCCAGAGGGTAGTAATTGATGGAAGTCACTCATGGTGGTGTCCTGTGACCAGTGGGGTCCCCCAAGGCTCTGTCCTTGGACCCATACTGTTCAACATCTTCATTAATGATGTGGACACTGGAGTCAGAAGCGGACTGGCCAAGTTCGCCGATGACACCAAACTTTGAAAAAGCAAGGAAGAATTCAAACAACTCCCCCATTTCAGCAGGGGAAAGCCAAGGTGTATATAGCCAACTCCAAGCTACCAACACAAGATTGACCACAAGATGAACATGAGCCTGCAGTGTGATGCTGTGGCTAGTAAAGCGACCAAAACGCTGGCTTGCATCCATAGATGCTTCTCAAGCAAATCCCGGGACGTCATTCTCCCCTTGTACTCGGCCTTAGTGAGGCCACAGCTGGAGTACTGCATCCAGTTTTGGGCTCCACAATTCAAAAAGGATGTGGAGAAACTTGAGAGAGTCCAGAGAAGAGCCATGCACATGATCAGAGGTCAGGGAAGCAGACCCTACGATGACAGGCTGAGAGCCCTGGGGCTCTTTAGCCTGGAAAAGCGCAGGCTCAGGGGTGATCTGATGGCCACCTATAAGTTTATCAGGGGTGACCACCAGTATCTGGGGGAACGTTTGTTCACCAGAGCGCCCCAAGGGATGACGACTAGGTCGAATGGTCATAAACTACTACAAGACCGTTTCAGGCTGGACATAAGGAAGAATTTCTTTATTGTCCGAGCCCCCAAGGTCTGGAACAGCCTGCCACCAGAGGTGGTTCAAGCGCCTACATTGAACACCTTCAAGAGCAAACTGGATGCTTATCTTGCTGGGATCCTATGACCCCAGCTGACTTCCTGCCCTTTGGGCAGGGGGCTGGACTCGATGATCTTCCGAGGTCCCTTCCAGCCCTAATGTCTATGAAATCTATGAAATCAGATTTACCCACATGGTTCTTTCCATGTCAGGTAGATTGTCTGTATCTATCTTTTGGGATACAACTCAGTCAAAGGTTATGACCAGATCTCTAATTATGAGTTGTTGTATCAAAGGAACCTAAGGAAAAGGGACAAGATAAAACCACTCAGGATCTCTTGCCAACTGTGTTACTAGAGCAAGAATAATTGCCCCTCTTAAACATGGGAGTGGGATGGGCACCCAAGGTGTTGTTGTCTGCCAGTAATGGGAAAATCAGCACCACAGTAATGACGGTATCTCAGGTAGATGGACCATCAACTAGGTGAATTCTGGCTGCTCCCAGAAGGAAAGAATTTTCTGGAGAATTCTGAGATTTCAACAAAGTGAATAAGTCTGGTGGAGGTCTGGTTTTGGAGGTGTTTAGGAGCTTTGGAACAACCCAGGCCTTGGCTGAGTGTAGGTCCCCAGTGGTCAGTGGCTGGAAGACTCAGCCAGAAGGCTGAAGTCTGGAAACTCTAACAGGACTCTGGAGGATGGCATTGTAGTCAGGAAAGAGGGTGAGAAATTTGAACTCGGTTTTGTGTATTCTGCCTTCAAACTACACAGTCAGTTTTTCGTATAACCTTTTCCTCCCGTAGAATAAATCCTTCTGTTGCTTTGTTACCTTACTGTTAAGCCCTCATCCCTGCAAACCCTGGCACTATTGCCAGAATATAGACTGAGAAAGCCATAAAGCTTTGATTTCTATGGCCTTTTGGGACAGAGCAAGAAGACCTGTCATAGGCTTTAGCGTTCAAAGCAAGCATTGATGGGGTAGAAAAAAGTACAATGTTGGTCAAGGAGGTCACAAAAACATCTGGATACCTGTGCAATCCGGTGATGCTGTAGGTTAATCACTCGTGACACAGCCATCTGCATGCTACCGAACACAGCTACCACCTCTAAGATCTTGTCATCAAAGGAGGGGGCTGTAAATGTCTAGAGGGAGAGAGAATTCAGGTCACATACTGCTCTGTGAGAACTTCCTTTCCCTTTCATGGATGGAGATTTGACCCTGGTCTTTCGCTATCACTATTTATTCTCTGTAAAATTAGCAATGATGCTACAAACAGGAGTTCTGCAGTCATCTAGGTGTGAGAAAAAGCAGCCTCAATATCCACAGTGGCCTTTCAACAGCAGCTAAAGTATAACTCAGGCACATAAAGCCTCTGAGCAGCAAGAAAGTTGCTCTTCCTATGAGACTGGATATTTTCCAGTACCTGGCATGAAAGAAAATGTCTGTAAACCTGATCCAATGGCTTCTCTCGGCCTCAGTTGGCTTTATCTTAGGGACTCACAGGGTAGAGGAATTGTACATGGGTAATATAGGTAACCCCTGCTTAATGCTGTTTCGCTTAGTGCTATTTCACTATAATGCTCGTTTTACATTGATACCTGATTTCACTTAGTGCTCAGCAAGTTTTGTTATTATGCTCATGGGCATGCAGCCTCGTTGTGCAATTTACGCCAGTTTGTTTGTGTTGCCATCTTGGTTCATCAAAAACTTCCAGTTTCGCTTAATGCTATTCCGCTTAACGCTCGGTTCTTCAGGAACCATTTAAGAGCACTAAGCGGGGGTTGCCTGTATCGTGGGCCTCATGTAAAGCATTCCACCAAAGGCAAAAGGCTCCAGTATGACCAAGCTCCTGTACAATTCACTGCTGATCCTTGTGGAGAACAAATTACTGAAGTCTGACTTCTGAATATGCATCCATTTAATAGAGAAACCTGTCAGATGCCTCCAGAAATACCCTTTCCTAGCATCTAGTCTCAGGAGCAACTGGTGCATAAATAGGAGATGGTAACGAAGTTCCTTGTTTTCTGATTTACCAGTTTCTAGGAATACTCACATCATCTTCCTTGGTGCCTCCCCAGAAATTGGTGCCTCCTGCATAGCTAGGAATGTTAAGTACAGCAATTCCCTGAAGACTGGGCAAAGGGATAGGACGTCCATCACACTATTCACAAGAGAAGACACTATTAGGTTTAACAGCACAATGTTTGCAGTCAACAATTTTAAAACCTTTTCATGAGCAGTCTGTAACTGCTAGTCATGCCAATGAAGAGAACAGAAGATTTCTAGACCACGCTCTTTCTGGCCTGGCACTGAAGTACACTGTCAGCAACAATTTCTAGGAATATAAGGTCTTCTCTACACTGATAATTACATCATGCTGTAACAGAAACAGGTGCTCCATATGCTGCACAGATGTTTCTAAAGCTACTTTGTGTTGCTCTGCAGAACCTTGGTTATTTTTTAAACACAGAAGTCATTATTATCTAACTGCTACATGTGTAAAAGAAAAAGCATAACCAATGCAGCTATGAGTCCACAGAGAGCCTGGAACCATCAGTTTGGGGCTAGTGAAAAGCCCATTCATCTTTGCATGTTGTTAGTTCAGATATCCACTGATGACAGTTTAGTTATCAATACTGTTAACTATTTTATTCCTCAGGTACAAAAAGAAAGGAAGGGCATCATTCCCTGTATGTGGATGCTCATTTTCCTCTCATTAGTAGACTCTGTTTGGGAGATACTATTATATTTAACTTCTCATCAATCAAACATGGGAAAAGTGTAGCAGGGCTCCTAGGTGCAGTCAAGTTTCTCGAAAAAGAAGCCAAACAATGTCATGGGCACATTTTGAACGTCTGCACAATTTGCTGTGAGTAGGGCTCACCTAAGTGCAGCCTGCTTTGTGTGTGGAAGAACACCACTCTGCCCTCTAATTTGATCCCTATAAAATGTGTTTGAACCAATATGATGTTAACAAGTTAAGAGTTATTGTGTGTACAAGACACACAGTGTTAAACAAGACAGTCCCTGTCTATGCTGAGTGCCAAGTCATGCTTAACATTATGCCAGCATACACAATTCTAATCGGATGTAATTTCCTAGCAAACACAAAGGCTCTGTATTAGGTAACAGAAGTGTTTTCATTGTACACGCAGAGGCATTGGGATACATTAATACAGTCAGGAAGTCAGAAGGACTGAAATCAGGAAGTCTTCTCTGGAACTATCATGGTGAGTTCAGGTGCAAAGGGACCGAAGCAGATGTAAACAGAGATTTACTTTCCACTGAAAGGTGAATAAAAATCTCCCCAGGCCCAAAGCAGAGGTGACTGGGGTGGGACTGAGAGGGAGATTCAGTCATGCATGTACATTTTGACTCCTCACCTCCAGCAAGACCTTCTGCTCCAGGTTCTTGTATGTTCTGTGTAACAGTTCCTTGGTCCCCAGCACTCCGTACCACATCATGTTTTTAGTGCGACTCCTAAGAAGGGCAAACAAAAGAACAAGAGATACAACAGTCAGCACAAAGCATTGTCATTTACCCTCATAGTGAGAGAAAAGGCCAGTGAAATTATATGGCTTATCCCTTAGAGTCCTTCCCTTCCAGAAAGGACAAGCACTGGCAGTGGTCATCCCTTGTATGCTAAATAGACATTGGCCTCAAAAAAAAAAAAAAAAAAAAAGTTAGAGAAGATCCAATAACAGAAGCTCAAACAGATCTGCAGATACTCCCAATGGGGAGGAGCATCCAGTTACTCGTGTCACTGAACAAAAGCTGCTGCTGAATGTTGCCCAAAGAGTGAATACCTTAGCTTCAGCTTGTTCGAAAGAATCCGTCTCTCTACAGCAAGGGTAGGCAACCCTTGGCACATGCATTAGAGTGTGGCACACAAAGACATTTTGCTTGGCATGTGTGCCTCAGGGCAGATGGCAGCGAAGCTGTGAAGAGTCTGATCCTTTTTGTGGTAGTGCAGCCTCAGCCCCAGCCCCTTCCCCGCCATCCATTTTGAGGTGCGCATGCACCAGTCACCAGCAATGAGCCAAGCTGGGGCTCCACACACCCTGGGGTGCAATGGCCTACAGTCTCCCCACCACCTGCTGCAAGCAGCTTGGGCTCTGTGGTGGGCATGCATGCCTCGGGGCAGATGGCGGGGAAGGGTCCAGGGCTGTGCTGCCATAACAAGGCATCAGGCCCCTCACAACACCCCTGCTGTCTGCCCCTGGCATACCAACATCTTACAAGTTGAGGTTGTGGGCATTTTTGGTACTCTGCCCAAAAACGCTGCCAACCCCTGCTCTACAAGTATCTGAAGAACTGTAGGGCTCACCAGTAGGATTAAATAAGGGGAGGGAACAAATACCAGCTTTCAGGGTATTTGGAGTTGGGACACGGTTCTTTTGTAGCTAGAAAGCAGCCATACCAGAAATTCTGCTATTGAGGTCATTAAGTAAATGTAACAATGGCATCAAACCCATATCACAGGTAGTTCTCAGAACTCCTAAGCTAGCCATGCTGTGTTCAATCAGAAAGTAATCTCTTTCACCTGCTATCATTCCTTCCTGGAGAGGAACCAAGCAATCAAGGTGATGATGTACCAATGGTGGTTTCAGATGACCAGTTTCAAGTTCCCGCACAAAATTACAAACTAATATCAGTCACTTCTGAGGTAGCCACTACCATCTCTACAGACCCAAAAGCCACCTGACTCCGAACTGGCCGGCCTACCTGCACTTCTCTGGGTGCTCATCACGTTTGTTGTTGAAGTCCAGAGAGATCTTTGCATCCAGTCCAATTCCAAAATAATTATTCATGACACACTTCTCTGTGTAACATTCCCTGCCAAGAAAGATAAAACAGTCTGTTTAAAGTGACACACTGGTTTTAATATGCACCTTACAGGCCCCTCTTGGCCACTTCACATCTCCCAGGTGCAGAAGGGTGAAAGAGGGGTGGCTGCTGGATGCCAGCCAGCAGGCCTGCTCATGCTCTGCCAATTCTGCATGGACCACCTACTGACAAACTCCACTACAGAATTTCAGCAGAATCTACCTCACTGAGCCCAAGAAAGAGGTGTCTAAGATTTATTAGGCCAAAAGGTACATTTCTGGACTGTGTGGCTGCACAGAACATTTAACAAGGGTGAATGTACTGAAAGGTGCCCTTATACCACGTGCTCTCCACAGCTGCTCCCTATCTGCATGTGCCAGCTTCTGGAAATGAAGTGGTGTAGCTACATTATAGAAGCCCTGACCAAAGGCTTGGCATTCCCTTTGGGCTTTAAGGCAAACTTATTGGTGTGTGCTCAAGGTTGCTCTAAAGCAGCTACCTTCCCTCACTAGTACTGCCTCATTCCCAGCATTTGGCACACATGGAATGGGAACAAAAGAACAAAGCCTGCTCCCAGCAGTGTTCCCAAGCATGGAACAGAGCAGTGTGGACCTGCAGTAAGTGACAAAGAGACATGTGCTCATCTCAGGAGGATGGTGATTTAAATGTCAACAGAAACATCCTGCTGATAAGTCTCTCATGCTCCCAGCCAGACTCTCTGGTTTCTCCACCTACCGTGTAACTATTCACAGTCAACACAGAAAAAACACAGCACACCAAAACAGAAAATTCAGGAGGAGAGTAAAGAAACATGTGATAGAGATAACACACCAGTCACATTTTTCACTGTTGAGTAAAGATAAAAATACCATGTTTGAATTTTCACAGAATTTATAGCTTGCTGGAGAATCCAGGGGACCTTCCTGGAGAATCCAGGGGACCTTCCTGAAGTACTGAGGTCTAGTTTACTGACAACCATAGATGCCCTATGTGGCGGGCCAGTAGGGGGTGCTCAGGAGCTGAGCTGCCCACTTCACTGTACCTGACCAAAACCAAGCTTTGGATGGCGCCCCAGGGGAGCCAACTTCTGGCCACGCCCCTTCCTAAAGCACACCCACAAGCCTGGTGTAACCCCTGCCACCACCTGAGCTCCGGTTTCTGTTACAGCTCTGTGCTGCTTGGGGTACACGGGCCCTGTAGACCTAGGGGTTACTTAGCCCCAGCAAGATATACCTGGGTGCTTCTTATAGCCTCCCTTAGTCAGCCCAGCAAAGGGAGAAAAAAGACTTGCCCAATCCCTCTCAAACATTTACTGCCAGGCTTGCTATGATAGGTAGCTTGATTGCTTGGAGAGGGAAGGCATGGGAAGGAATATAAACCAAAAATGAACTCTGAAAGAAAACAGCCTTGAGCAAAATAGCGTAAGGGGCTCATTGGCCCTTTTAGTCAGCACCTAGAACACTTAGATTTAAGTTACTGGCTACAAATCAGATAAGTTACTCACAGCAATGTCCAGAGGATTCTGGAGGTACGTGGCTTGATTCTGTGTCCAGAAGATGTCCATCCCCCCAACATGGAGGGACCCTCTTAAAAAGCCCTATTGATCTCATCACCTGGACCCAGTCAGGGACAGGTGTTATTTGAAGCAGACCAATCCATTTGAAAAACATCAGCATTACCTACTGGAGTGACATTGGCTTAAGCCTAGCCCCCATGTCATGTGGTCAGAACTCAGAACAATGGACAGGCTAGATCAACCCCCTTCTATCTGAGCCAGGTCATATGCGGCAACCAGGTTAACAGACATGTGAAAAGACAAAGAAAAAGAAAGAGAAGAAAAGAAAAAAAACCTATGTGGGGGAGCAGAGCCATAGGCCCTAGAAGTTTTTTGTCACACCCTAAGTGAAGAAAACTTCCGTATATCCACTGGTTTTGAAGAGAAGCTTGATCTGAGTTACCTTCTCTCAACAGGAGACTCATATTTTCTCTACTGAGTCAGACTCCTCAACCCTATTTAACTAAACGGTTTGTTTCCCACATCGGCATTCTGCACAGGAGAGTTTATGTATATCTCTTCATCCCAGGACTGCTGTGGTCCCTTATTTATCTCTTAGAGGCAGCCCACCCCTCATCACAGTTGACTGACCCTGAAGTTTACCAAGAACCAGCCATTCCCTTTATGTTCCTCCACATACTCACAGGTTTTCTGGCTCAGCGTTAAATGGACCTGCATTGATCAATAATCGGGTGATGACAGAACTGCCAGGCAGAGAACCAGACATACCAGCTCG